GTACGAGTAGTCTTTTTGTTAACATTGACATTGAAAAAAGATTTCAAAAGAATACATATCTGAAACAAGTGTGTATTCTCAAATATAATTTATTTATATATTCCAGAACCCTATAGAAATTCATTATCTTCAGAAAAGAAGGCCACAGACACTGAAATTCCAAAAACTCAAGATCAAATTCAAGGTTCAACATTCTCAAGAAAGTCAACTCCGAGATCTAAAGGCCCTCCTACACCACAGCATGAACAAAACCACGTATCTGATAAAGACGTACCAAATACCGAACCAACAAAAAACACCGAATACCCACCGATACCGAAGGCAGAGCAGATTCTGGGATCTGAAACCCGCTTAATAAAATCAAAGCTAATACAAAATGCAGTTACCGACCAGATATCAGTATCTGAACCAGACTCGTTAAAACCTAAGCCAGAACCAAACCAAGCACAGTTTTCCAGAACGAAATCAAATCGCGATAACGTTTCAATTATTCGAAAACCAGTATCAAAAGCTCCTAAAAACACCAAGGAAAGATTCGAAGTAAACATTGACAAAATACAACAACGAGAGATAAAAACAATCTCAGATCTGAAGAAACCGGAGCCTGTTAACACAATAGCACACCCCAAAGAGAAATTAATTAATAAACCAGAGCCTAAAAACCCAGTGGCGTATCCGAAAGGAGATCTACTTAATAGACCAAAACTTAAATCTTTAAATTCATTTGCATATCCGGAAGAAGAATCGATAAATAAATCAGAGCCAGAGCGTGTAAATCCAGTGATTTATCCAGTGGAAGAGCCAGTCATTAAATCAAAGTCGGATCCCGTAAATCCAGTCATGCATGAAAAAGAACCATTTAATAAACTACAGTTAGAGCCTGTTAAATCAGTGACACTAACGGAAGAACAAGTAAATGATCCAGAAACAGAGCCGGTGTTTCCTGATATGAATGGTATACCGGTACAACCAGAGGAAGAACCGATGAATGAACTGGAAACGGCGTTACCTGCACAGGAACCAACAACTGAACCAGAACCGGCGTTACCTGACAAGGAACAAGCAAGTGACCCAGAACCAGCGTTACCTGAACAGGAACCAACAACTGAACTAGAACTGGCGTTACCTGAACAGGAACCAACAACTGAACCAGAACCAGCGTTACCCGAACAAAATCCAACAAGTGAACCGGAAATAGTGATAACTAAAACAGTAAACCAAGAACCAATTCAAAAAGTAGTACTGCAGCAAGATGTTAAGCCCACAAACCAGAACTCATTTGAATCGCCTAAACTTGTACCTGACCGTACATCACCTCTGAAAGCAGATAAAGGATTGTTTGAACATGAAAAACGGAATCTACCCTTGTTTAACTCTGTTAAAATTAAAGAACCGAAAAATGTATTACAAAAGAAACCGGAACATAAAGAAATACAGTCAGAGCCTGTAACACCCTCTTTCTTTATCAAAACGCAGCGAAACTTGTTGTCCCCTGATTCTCTACGCCAAACAACTCCTTCTCCAAACGATAGCATTTCAAAGAAGAGTCAAAAAGAACAATCAACTATTAGTGAGTCTGTACCTAGAATAATACGTGTTCGCGTGCCAATTCGTTTTCAGAGACTTTCCTCTACAACTACCTCAACTACAATTGCCCCTGTGGTGTCAGCCAAAGTGTCTCAAACTTGCAAGAAATTTTGCTTCCGGTTCCGGGACTCTAGTCGTTTTACCATATTACAGAAACAGCGATATGATCTTTTATGTGATAGAACTTGCCGTGCTGGGAGTTGCCAAACCAGTATCTGTACAATGAACTGTGGCTGTCCCCGAAAGTTGGTCTGTACGTATACAGGACAAAGACGGCGCTGGGCAGGGGATGGCTGGTGTAATAATCTATGTAGACAACGTTCACCATTGTGTAGACAAACTCAATGCAGATGTCAATATGCCTGATGTAAATCTTGATGTTTATTATTGAGGAATTCCACTTTATTTTTATATTGTATGGCGTGAAGCACAAACTTTTTTATCATGTTCTTTTTTTATATATATTTTTATAAATAGTTATTAAACAAATTAAATAATTTTTCCTGTTATCTTTAATTTAAAATATGGAGATAACGAACAGTATTCAAGCTTAAAGTCCATTAAAACAAATCGGGATCAAAGCAAACACGGACCTCCAAAATCAGAAGTGGGATCAGGTGTCATGGAGGAGTTAGCACCCCCTGCCGACCGGTCATACCCGCCTTGTCATGATCGGTATATAACGGAAAAATTCGTCGACAATTCAGTGTGTAAATAATGACCTAACAATTAGTGTGAAAAACGTCAGTAAGCATATGACTTTATGATACATTGTATTTGCTGACAAGGTCATAGAACTTCCAAAATGATGACTTTAAACGAGACTGTTGATATTCTTGTTTCATCAGCTTGTTTGTCAATAACTTACCTCGTTTTAGAAATTGTTCATACGTGGAGAATGCTCTTGCGTATCGAATCAACTGAGAGATATTCACCCCATATGCAGGTGATAACAGTATATTGCTGCGTAAGTAAGGGAAGTTGACGATTGAAAAGTTAGTCATCCCGTTTATCATAAAGCTTTGTTGTTAGATTACCAATAACGACTTTTTCTAGTTGTCAATCAGAAACTCATGCATCTTTTTAGTAACAACTTCAGAGTACTTGTGTGTACATTCAGAATGTTGTTTAACAAAATAATTTTGAACAATGACAAGGTAAGTAAATCTACGAGTTTCATTTTAATTGAAAAGGATATTTGTATCAAATGATACATTTTACAATAAAAAGACTATGATTTCGTGTACATATATCTACATTTAACAACAATATCAAACGTCGAATAATTTTGTGGTTGCTTCCCCTTTTTTACACTTAATTTGCTTTTTGCGTTTGCTTTTTCATAAATTACTTAACCCTTTACAGGAAAGGTTTGTCATACATCAATACTTATTCTGCAGATGTGTCAAATAAGCTGTGTTGATAATCAATGGAAACTTGATCATCCGACATTATTGGATTTATATATGATAAATTCGATGGTTAATATGCTAGGTATACAAAATCAAGACATCTTTTGTGTTTCAGGTCATTTTAATGAAAATCAATGCTTCACTGAAATACCCATCCCTTCATAATCAAACCATGTTAATTCAAGCAATTCCGTTATTTTTCATTGAATATCAAAATAAGGAATGACTGTAGTTGTAAATGTGTCATTTATTATTGACAAAATGAAAGCACATGGAAAGGTGGATATCCTATCTTCTTATAAAACTTGAATATAAACCTGGTCTTGGATCTCTTAAAACATAATGATAAAAACACAAGTTTTAACACACTTATTGTGAAAAATGTATGTTTTACAATTAAGATTCGATGTCAAAAAGCTTCTTTAAATTACAAAATAAGATATTAAAAAATATTTGGTGATAAATAACATACTTGCGTAAAGAATGACCATCATTTAACCATCACTTTCTCCAGCAAAAAAAACATATTTTAAAAGTTTTCTGTGAGAATTTGTCAATTTTCAGAAATTAAACATAGTACCTTTAGTTAGAGGTTATGAGAAAATACAAAAAATAAACATTTTCGAACTAACTAGTGATATACATATATGTAGTGCAATATGTGTCGTTGCAGTAAATATGCCATGTGCAATATGATATAAATATAAAAATGTTAAACTTTCGGCAAACATGTATAAAGTTATCAATAAATAATTTTTCAAATATAATCGGAGTCCTGATTTTTCTACGCTTTTAATGGTACTTTAAAAGGTTGAAAATAGGAGAATATACCATTTTCACGTATTTACTTAATAAATTCCTTTCTCATACCAAGCATGTACTTTATATGAATTATAATTATAACTTATTTTATTTTAAATTATATTGTATTTCATGCTGAATAATTTAAAGGACATTTTAGCATCTCCTTAGATAGTTAATAGCATAATTGTATGATACAAAATTATTTATTTATTTATTGAAATACATGAAAAGGTGTGACTTTTCTTTTTATTTGAAGGTATCATATTTTGTATCTTCCAAAAAAATATCCATCTATTATTTCCCAATTTTTAAAAAATTAAAGTGTTTAAAATATTTTTTTTTAGTTGCTGACGAAATTCTTTACAAAATTTAATAGTGATAAAAGAATTGTTTATCCTTCTTTATACAGTGCTTAAATCATTTATATGTAATTTGTCATAAAAAATATTTTGTGCAAGCTAATAATTATAAGTGAGTAAAAAAAGTACAATAATTTTGTCATTATGTACTTTTTTTAATTTACTGCTACATGTATTTTGAATTCAAAATTAAGGATATGACAATTTAATTGTGAACCACTTTTTCAAACTTTGGGTAATTTATCAAAATTGAGGTCAATGAGTGGAAAGAAGAGATCTTTCCAACCACCGAATCGTTTTATCTGTCACCACATATTACGTCACTTACCTTCCTATTTTTTTTTTATTTTTCTGCAAAGCACCAACATGAACGATTTTCAAAACCATAGTATGTGACAAGATATTTATTAGAAAAATATTTGTAAAAAAAAATGAAATTAGTCTTATTATTAGTTATCAACATTGGCAATTCATTTTTCCTACATGTTTGTTGTTTATTTACGACTAAATTTATTTTTATTAAAGCCTGGCTCTTTCGTTAAATGTATCGTAAAGATATAAATTTTCTTTCACAATATTTTCACGATATTTGTTCTTTGACGTACTTTACACATTTCACCTCCTTCTCGAGGAAATGTCTATCATGACAGATAGACGCATGTAAAATACAACCCACAACAAACCAAGTGTGTCATGTTTTGTTTACGTAATGAGACACGCTTCACAGATTTTCCCAATAAAACATTAGGAATGTCATTCAGCCGGCATTACTACAAAAGACATAACCCCATCTACAATTGTCAAAATTTACTACGATTTCCACAGTCAAGAGGGATAACTCATAGCCGTTCAATTATTCTTTTTATCCATAATCGAGAAAGGCAATGTTCTTACTGAAGACGTTGTTGTGTATTAGTTTTGCAACCGGTATGTATGAAATATTGTATTTATGTTGAAGTTGCTTCTAATTTTAATGACGAATTTCAATTTTAGTTACTTATTCAAAAGAATTATGATGAAAAATAATTTCATATGCATAACTTGAATTGAGTGTTAAAATATAGATTCATCCCACTGAATTGCGCCAAATAGAGAATTTATATCAATAGAACATTATGTAGTTTTCATGTATCTTAGCTCTTTTTATATATATATACATGTTTTACTTACCTTTTATTAACACCGATCTGTCTTCATAGCAGGAATCCTCAGTCAAACTTGTGACATAACTTCTGCCAACAAATGCTGGTCTCCACTTACTGCCACGATGGGGGATTTAGTCCCAAGCTCGACCCCAAAGCATATTTCTCCATCTTTTAAAGTCAATAATGTATGCAGGTAAGGAGAAAAAAGTTGTAAAGCACTCTTACGCACCAATTTCAAAGAAATACTGTATGTGTACTTAAAAAAGCGGGCTTCATATTTTAGCGGCTTTGGCGCGGACAACGATGCGCTAATTCCTGAATACTGCTAATAAATCATTTTTTAATACAATACATGGCACGGACATGTGAAGAGCTAATTCATGATTACACCAACAACTCCATACCCCTTGATTGCGCTAAATTTTGAATACGCCAATTTATGTACACGTACAGTAATCTGATTTCTATCGTACTTTTTTTGCAAGAATAATCATTAAAAGCAGTTTACTAAACCACAGTAACCATATCTTTTTGTTTTTTAGAAAATTTAAAAGTATTTATCTTAAAGATTATATGAAAATATTGCAAATAGACATTTTTGTACATACATTTTCTCATAAATTAAATATATTTAATTTCAGCGGACTTCATAAAGTGTTCAGTTGTTCTGAAAAGAAAATGTCGGCATGCAATCCAGAAGACCGTCTTCTTTATGATACTGCGAAATCATCGAGTACCTTCCTCTGCACACAGGGAAAACAAGGTTTATCTTTATATAATCTAATAGCTGAAAAGCTTGATTTTTCCCATACTTTTATCAGGTGATTAATTTTTTAGGCGTTAATAAAATTTGGGCCACTACATATTGTAACATACAATGTTCCTCATAATTCTCTATGTCTATTTTAAAAACATGTCTTACATGTATTTGTCAAAAATTATCTTCAGATAGAAAATAAAGTAGCAATTGTTAGAAGCTTGGCATGCTCGAAACCATTAAAAATATTCAATGCTAGATTAATCTCTCATAATAAGAACACTAATTCTTTAAAACAAGAAAATTTTCATTTCTTTTTTTAATTTTATTATTTTTTATTTTACTTTTAACTAGGATATATTGAGCATGCCCACTGCCTGTTTAGCGACGCTTCACACAAGAGTATGAAGAAATGTACATCTGAAGCAGTGACTTTGATCCAAAACTTCATTCTACCGATGTCTGATCTCTCGGAATTAAAAGGAATATCAAAGGAATTATGTGGGTAAGCATTTATTGTTTAATTTAAAGTTTATTTCTTCTTAAAATAAAAGACATATTTTGTTATTTTAGTGTATATTTAGGCATAAATATTTATATAGGTCTTAGAGCAAAAATTTCAATTGCTGTCATTTTACTGTACAGAATTTTGGAAATCATATTTTACTTGGTATCATTTAAAAGTGCAATTTTGGAAGCCATACATCAATTGATTTTATTTTTTAAAAACAATTCTCATTTTCAGGTTTGCCTCCGCTGTTCGTTCCTGTCTTCTTCTAACAGCAAAAGAAAATTGTGGGGAACCTGCTGCCTTATATCTTCAGCAATACATTGATGCCACAATTAAACCAATGTCTGACTTTCTGTCCTGCTCATCGCCTAAATCAGTACAAGGTAAAAAGATTCTTAGAAAAACAACAAAGAATAATCTTAAGGTTTTATGTAAAAGCTACACTATAGATGTTTTAATTCATGACAATTCAACTTAATAATAAATAAAAATAATTGAATAATTGATCATAATTCTAAAATATTTATGTTATTTGTATAGATGTGACATATTTTCCCTCCTCTGATAAATTAAGAGGTAAAACTGTGACTCAAACAACAATGATCCCAACACTTCAAAGCACCCCAAACATCCCTAGTTCCTTTATCAGCCCAAGTGGACCAAATGCAGACATTTTAAACGCCATACAACCTGAAGAAATTGTGCAAAGTATTCAAACAAACGTGCCAAAATGTGACCGATATTGTTTTGTTTTCAAACATGACTTATCACCGTCCTTAAAACCGGGATATGATGATTGGTGTGAAATTAACTGTCGCCAGGGATTCTGTCCACAGCGGACGTGTACATGTAACTGTAACCCAGTGCGGAGGAAGATTGTGTGTGAAGCGATGGACCTGAGATTTAAGATGCAATCACGTGGTTCAGAGTGGTGTAATGCTGTTTGTAAGCAAGGGTTTTGTCCAAGGAATTACTGTAAATGTAGAGTTGAACTGGAATCACAATATGTTCCATCTCCACTGTGATTATTTTCAACTGCTTCAAACTTGGAATCAATTCTACCTCAGCATTTTAAAAAACGCAATACTTGAAAGAATTACTTGCTATGAAATCCAATGTTATGTATATAGTCATGTTTTCTAATCTATTATTTTGTAAAATTAATACGTTATAATCATGAAAAAATACTAGTTTGGAAAAAAAACAATGTATTTAAAAAGTGCAAAGTATTGCAGAAGACATTTTGTTTTAATTCCAACTGGTATCTTTTCAACAACTCTTTTGTCTTCATTACTAGCAGACAGTAATTCCAAAATTACATTCGCTCTCTCAATTTTTTAAGGAAAACAAGTTTATATTATATGACACCACTTTATCTTTCTTGGAAAATAACTATTGTCCCCAAAGCAATAAAGGTAGAACATATTTCAGTTTAAACATCAGATAATGTTGTCATTAACCTCACAATCATTACACTTTCAATAATGTGCTAGAATTTCATCGGTTCTAATTAATGAATAACAAATGATTAACTAGTCTTTTTTTAAGATAATGCTAATGTTTAACAAAGTTGTGAAGATCTCAAGCAACAAAATTTTTGTTGATACTGAGAGTAAAAATACCCTCCAAAGGCGAGAATAAGGTGACACGATAAAACACGCAAAATAAGCGTGTAAAAAGGTGCAAATGTTATAACTTATAAATAATCGTGTGACTGTTTTTAAAATATGTGACTTTGTTCAAGTTTTAATTGTCTTATACATGTATACGTGTGACTTATTTTTTGATTGTCTCATAAATTATGATAAATAGTTAAATACATTTTTTGAGTCTTGTTGTGATTTTTGGTTTTACAATAACCCGGATTATGATTGATCTCAAGATACCTGAAAAAAGTACTACATTTCTAACCATCACAGCATTGTGTTTTATTATCTAATGGCTTAAATCGGAGATACTTTGATGCAGCAGTGAGGACGATGCGAGATGATGATTCAATATTCAACGATGGTTAGATGATTTGAAAGTGATAACTCATGGGAATATTTGGGGATTTTCAAACGACTGAATGTTTCCTTAAATCTTCGATCGTTATTGCATCATCATCATTAGCTAATCATCGTATCATTTAATTATCATCACCATTATTATTGTAAAAAGCAATGTTTCAACCATTGATGTACAATGAATTAACACTGTGGTTTATTTCTCTACGTGTACATTTCAACTGAACTACAAATATGTTTTTTTTTTTATTTAACATTTTCTGTTTGAACATAAAATTTATATACTTTTGTATACAAAAGGATGTTTAAAATTATGTATTGAAGATTTCGGGGTATCGTTTTTTAGTGATATTGTTTGCAAAGCTTGTGAAGTTTATAATGTTACTAAATAAAACTAAGATATTTGTTGAAGATCAAACATTGTGCAGCTGTGCGAGATGAACGGCACGACTTGAAAACTTCACATCACCTTGTGTTACTTAAATCATTTTACATTAACTGATGGCAACTAAAAGGGTATTCGGTGATTATTTGTCAGGAAAGAAAGAAGTGACTGAAGTTAGCATTCGGCAAATGTGCCTCCTGTTAGCTTTATTTTTGTCTGTGGTCTATACTGGTTCAGAGCAACACTGAGTGCACAAGTAAAACTGCTAAATGGCCATTATTTTAAAAAAAAATGTAAAGATAAATAGCAAAAATCATTCTCAAAAATCTAATTAAACAATACAAATTGTAAGCAAAGCAAACACTAACCTCTGTGAACAGAGGTGAGATGAGGTGTCACGGAGGAGTGAGCATCCCTTGTCGCTTGTCATGATCGGGTAAACAGGAAAATCCGTAGGCAATTCAGTGTGTTGATAATGGCCTAAAAAATTGTATGAAAGACTTCAGTCAACATTCGACCCACCAAATAGATTGTAATAGCTAACAAGGTCACTGTATCCACCATAGAATTTACAAAATCTTAAATTCAAAGGAGATTGTTGATATTTTTGTACTATCAATTTATTTGTCAGAATCCTGCCTCGTTTTAGAAATTAGAACAAAAATAGCAAGGATAGTCACACTAGAGTTTGTTACTTGGATGTTTTACTGACTAAAAGACGTGAATTGCCAACTAAAAACTAAACTAGTATAATCATAATACAATGATTTCAGCCTTCCATCGTCAACTTTCTTTAGTTCTGCACCGTTATCACATGCATATGGAATCGGTACACATCAGCTTGTTCTGAGAACAATCAAATTTTAAACTGATGCAGGGTACTGGCGAATAGTTGATGTTACAGGGATTTCGTTTAAAGAGAGATTTTCGCCTATAATATTTTCTTTTTAAGAAAATATGAATTAATCTATCATTGGGTTGATGTTTGACTGATACGTTTCGCACCAATTGTTAGGTTACTGGTTTTATACCAATTTAGACTACAGACTACTCAGTTTACTTGATCAATACAAAGTGCTCACGGCGGATGTTCTCCTACTTAAGCCACCTGATCGCACCTCTGGTGTTTCCAGGAGTGCATGTTATTGTCCTGTTTACGATTTGTATGAAATTGTTCAGAGGATCGAAATTATGACTGTTCGTTATCTTCACGTTTTTCATTAGTGAATTTGGAGGATTTTGAACGATATAATTGCTGATTAAGATAACATGTCCTGATCTCTTGATAAAATGTACATAATTGAACATTTTTGCTCTCTTTAGAGGTTCATCTAAGAAATTAAGATATTTGAAAATGTGTATATTCACTTTTGAATGCATTCTGACCTTGGTATTAAGTATCTAGACTAAAGCAAATCCAGAACACGTCAAAACGGATGAATCTGAGATCTATACGTTTATTCATAATGTCATCATATTGACAAACAGAACAAAGAGAGATAACTTGAACTGACAGAATATTTACTGAAATAGTAGGCATAATTAGTTTGATGAAAAAATAATTCTCATTTCTTCGATACTTTGTATGAAAGGAAACTACATACAGGTTATTGACAAAAATGAAAATTAATGAATATGTAATTTTTTATGAACATATATCATTTGAATTTTATCATTTCAGTTTTAATATATACACATATGTCATCATGATGACAATCGTGATCGTGCCAATAAATAACAGGAAGTACTAACATAGTCACTTTCACTGATAATGACTAGTGGTTTGTTATTATGTAACGAATACGTGTAGATTTTATATGCGTGTAGATGGTGCTTACGGTGCGGATGTTCGGAGTACCGTGTCAATATCAGATGTTTGTTATTAGAATTCAGTTTTAGTTCAAATAATTGTCATCTTGATTTCATTTATCATATGTAATAACATTGTACTCAAACTTTGTCCCAGATGTCCGTGCTGTTGCATTTATAAACAAGACAGTATGGATACTGCATGCATTTAAATCCATTGTTTTACCATAATTTAATACAACCAGAATTTTGTATTTCAAAGAAATGCGATTGTGTATGTAAAAATTATTTTATTTGATAACATATGATTAAGGTGTGGATTTAAAACTGAACTTTGCCTTTTGATATCCTGTAAGAAAAGTGATACTTGTACATCAGTAACTTGTTTGTTTCAGTTAGAATCCACAAACGTCATAAAAAAATTAATGTCTTTTAGTCAGTAAAGTTTCAGCAAGCATATCATGAACACATGTTATATCCATCCAAAACCTCTGAATTCTATAATCATCATCAAAATCTTCAGTATCTTAATGAAAATAATGAAAAATAGTGTTTTAATTTTTATATAACATTTACTACATTGTAAAACATTTCAAAATAATATCCATCATTCATTACAAAATAATATCCATCATTCATTACAAAAAATCGATTTGCTCTCTCTCTCTCTCTCTCTCTCTCTCTCTCTCTCTCTCTCTACCCTGATATGTTCATTATGGATTCACTCATCAACACCCACTGTTATGGAATTCCCAACTGTTTATGGCAAATCTGCGAGGGACTTTTTCGGGGGAAGTCCTGTAGGTTTTTGCTTTTCTTTACTCTTTTCCTCAAACATCAGTATTCTACAATAAGATATTACAAATAGAAATTTGTGAATAATTTCTTATAAAATATTTTTTCCCAATAATTTTTCCCAATAATTTCATAGATTTTTCGGCTTAGTTTGCAGATAAAAATAAAATGAAAGTAATTCAATATTGTATTTTATCTTGTCTGGGGATGGGAAGTCTTAGAAATGCATATGACTGCAGCATTTGACTGATATAATTCATACTTTTTAACAATACTTTTTAAAGTATTGAAGAAGAATTATATATTGGCTACCTCTTACAAAACCAAAAATGAAAAAGTGAATAACAATTTCATTTTCTTGAAAAAAGGTTATCAATTTGGCATCATTTTTGCTTTTTACTGGCAAAGGAAAAGCGAGTTCTTTGTGCTAAAAACAACTGTGGAATTAAACTTTAACTTACATCTTAAGGATAGAGTTTTTCTTTCCAAGCATCATACTCAGAAATTCTGTGTAATTTATAGTGCCGGAGTTATCCGTGTCGACTTCCGCTATCATTTTCTTTAATTCCAAGTGGGTCTTGGCCTGCCCTAGCTTTTCCATCATTTGCTTTAACTCCATTATATCTATTTAAGGAAGCATTTTATGTAAATAATAATCTTAATATATACATTGAAACACCTACCGACCGAAGAAAAAAAATATCATGATTCTTACTCTTAAAAATTAAGAAAGTTTAATTAATGTATGTAGAAACAAAAGCAAACTTTTTGGCACCGTAATATCGAGGTTAATAATCCCAGTATTTGCGTTTTTTCAATATAGAAAATATAGGAGTTAGCATTTAGGTTTTAGTGCTTGTAGAATAATTAACCTTATTAAAAAATCATCAAATCTTAAAAAAATTACCGATATCTCCAGAGTCGTCCAGATCATATTCCATAAACTTGGCTACAACAAAACAAAACATGATACAGTGCATACCACATCATTTGTTTCATTATGTTTTCTTTAGGCTTTCTAATCAATTCAAACAGGAAGATTGCATTAAGCACACGTATATTTTCTTAATTTTTTTTATTTTTTTTTTCTTGATTGCTACAGGCACCTATCTTCCTTCCAGCTCGTTGTTCTTATATCTTGATATCTAACGCATTTTAAGCCATGCCGAATTTAAACTTTTACCTACATAATTACAGGCCCTCTCTGGACCTATAAATTTGTGTACATACCTTTGTATTCCACTAATTTCTCTTCCAAATCTTCAACATCGCTATATGCTTCACCATCCACAAAGTCCTTGAAACAGAAATATTTTGCTATCGTACAACGTACATGGACACAGATCTTTTGTAATTTTACTAGAATTTTCTGTAGTAATCTAAATTTCATAGAAATACATGTCTATAATGATATTTATATATCTAACCTTATTGATCTGGTCCAATGCATCTTCTTGTTTCTTCCTTAATTGTCCATATGTCTTCCCTCCTAAAAAAACATTGTACATGTTTATATAAATAAACATTCAGGACCTATATTGAGGGGAAAAAACTAGGAAAAGGATTGTATATTTTGATTTTGATAATTTACCACATACATGATTCATGTACACAATTTAACATTAGATCATTCCCTTTCTTGATAAATATACAATCTATATATAATTTTAGAGTATAAAAGGAAGCTATGGGACTTGATTGCTTTGTCAAATGTACGTAAGTGGTACTTATAAAGCTTTCCGGATTAAAACAGTCGACTCTCATTCATGGCTAATGATGAGAAGTCGTGAGCATCTTAATTAAAATCCATCCACTTTCAAACTCGTAAATTTTCATTGGGAAACCCCTTGCTAACAAGCCCACTGTGGATATTAGTTGAAAGGTTTTATTCTTCTCATTTACAAAAAAAAAGAAAATGTTAGACAACTGCATGATATGGAATAGATATTGATCAATGTCAAAAGCTTTTGTCTGTCTTTAAAAATCAAATCAAATCATCCACATGCACTGCGGCACTTTGATGTGTGACATGACCTAGATACCCAGACATTTTTATGTCACTACAAACGCACAGTCGCATAATTAACGGGATATTTGTCAATGACTTTATCTTCAGCACAGATTAATCCTTTTTTGAGTAGTCAGACGTATACACCATGTATACAGGCAATAATTTTTTTCTCGTCCAAATTTTTAAATTATAAAGATATTACAAGATATTACAATATTCCTCTCTCTCTCTCTCTCTCTCTCTCTCTCTCTCTCTCTCTCTCAATATGGACATTGCCTACACTTTAACAAATGGAAGGAAATAAACTTATTATTACACATAACGAGTCCATCCCTAAACCAGGTCACATCTTAATGGATTGCTTCACTGGTAAACTTGGCCCAGGGGGTCTTGTCATATAGCAAAGCTTGATTGCACATCGCTATAGTTTAAACTACAAAATCTTGTAAATGTGTGCTATTAACATGATTTTTGTAAACTTGCAAACTGTTAAAATTCAAAGTAAAAATGGTATAAAGTTTACGTATAGTCATTGCTACAGGGAGTTCGTTTATATACGTATATACTAGGGTCATTTATAATTATGTCGTGTAAACTTGCTATTTTGAACGTTAAAAACTGATATTAAATTGATATGTATAGAATTTTTAACCTGAAATCAGGAAAAGTAATTCGGTATATTTATGATCCAGGAGTGTTAGGGAAGTTATATAGAAAGAATATTTCCCTGTGATCTCTAAAATAAAATTAAATTGTTACCTTCCTACTATACTATCAAAATTTTGATCAAGTAATCATATACATGCATAGATATTTTTAAAAAAATTAAAATGGATTTATCAAGCAGAACAATTCACAGTCTATATCGAAAGTATGTTTGACAAAGAAAAATAAAAGGAAAAAAATAGCGCTAGCCCTTAAATTTAATGCCTTAGTTTAAAAAAGTTGTACACAAATTTAAGACAAGATTTTACCTTGTCTATCGTTAAAGTCCACAGGCATTTTCTCAAATTATTCCTTCTTCCACAAATCTCAATACACAAATGCCCGAATTACGACGGTCGACTTCCCACAAGTCTTTAAATAGGCTAGTGCCCTAAGTCAGCGATGTTTAGTAAGTTGTATCTTAAACTTCCTGTTTACTGTCACGTGGTGCTCGTAATAAGTGACACGTTCATATGCCCATATGCGTACAATTAATTATTTGTATTAATTACGCATATTATTTTCATTATTTTACACCCACATCATGTTACCTCTTTTAGAACATTTTTTAAAACCTTAATATTCATTAAATTTAATGTTTACTCTATAATCTATCTTAGATAGATATGCACTTTTATGATAAAGCATCTCAGAGATTATCATTATATATATATATATATATATATATATATATATATATATATATATATATATATATATATATATATATATATATATATATATATATATATATATATATACAGTATATATATATATATATACAGTATATATATATATATATATATATATATATATATATATATATATATATATATATATATATATATATATATATATATATATATATATATATATATATATATATATATACAGGGTGTTTCATAATATATGTTACATTTTGAATCTTCTATTTAACAAACACAAGAAAAAGATACACACAAGTGTTTTTATCAACTTGATGCATATATCCATAAGATTCATTATGTACAATTACCAACTAAAATATTAAAAACCGGACGAAATCTCAAACATTAATGAAAACTTGAGAAATTTCTAAATTACGTCATTTTTGTTACGTTGAATTTCAAAATGTCAAAAGTCCACGTTACATGTTCTTAATGACCTCCACTATTACACCTACAAATGAAAGTTGCTTTTCGAAATTTGTATAACCTTGTCACAAATTTTTGCTTAGACACTCCTCATTTGAAGGTTTGTTTCTTTTGAGCTCATTCAGTATCTGTTGTCTAGGATTGTAGACCCTAGGCCTGTTCCTAAAGACCCCCCTCCCCCAGAAAAAAGCCCAAAGATTGAGATTGGCGAATGCAGAGAGCAAACTCTTTTCTTGGGGTATTGCATTATTGAAAATTTGTACGCTGATAACTTCATATCATATTTCAAAGTTCAATATATGATGGAAATGCTGATATTGACAGCATCAATTTCTGAAAACATCCGTCTGACAGTTTTCTAAGGAGTTTGCTAAACTATCTAAGAGTCTCCACTTTACCAATTAAATCTTCGGTTCTTGAAGTCCTTAGGCTTTCTGGAGTTATTGTGTCATTTATCGCATATTACCCGTCCCTGTCCTTTAACCTTGTCTAGCCTTCTGATAAGCATCCTAAAGAGCTTCCATTCTTTTGGAATATTTCCTTCATCAACTTCTGAATGAATATTGGCGACATGTATTGAAAAAAAACAGCTTTGCAATTCAGCAATATGTTGATAAGTTAAGTCCATTTCGAAAAATATTCAAATTATGACATCGGCGTTTATGTCACAATTAATCATTGTATTACAATGATTTCCTTGACTTTTTCACATGGAATAAAAATGCAGGATTTGATGTAAAAAAAAAATGATATATAGTTTGTAATAGAAATATGATAGGTAAGAAAAATAATTAGATTTAAAAATGTAACATATATTATGAAACACCCTGTGTGTATATATATATATATATATATATATATATATATATATATATATATATATATATATATATATATATATATATATATATATATATATATATATATATATATATATATTTATTTATTTATTTATTTATTTATTTATTTTAGGAATGACTCTAATTCTTAGCCAAATTATTCAAGAATTAGAGTCATTCCTTATAATTTAATTTTAAAATCATTAAATAACTATGGGTGTAAAATTTCGTTGGTTTTTATTAGTTCAAATTTGCCGCTCAATAATACAACCGTAGTAACGGAAGAAACGGAAGTGATGGGAAGCGAGGGGAGGTAAAAACTGATACATAGGCCTAGCAGCTTGTTTACATGTGGTAAGATCGAATTATTGTTCGAAGTTAAATGTATATTTATTAAATCTGGAATTTTCCATGAATCCCGAGGACTGGAAATGAGAGGGTTGTATGCATACAGATGATTCAGCTGGTTGTCAGGGGCGTGTGTCCCCATACCAAACCAGGTTATACAGAAATAATTTGTGTTCCTTTTTGGATATTAACCAATCACAGGCTAGAATACAAACAAAATTAAATTATATATATATATATATATATATATATATATATATATATATATATATATATATATATATATATATATATATATATATATATATATATATATATATACAATCGATAGTAAGTGATATTACAAGAGTATGAAAAAATATGTTCACATCAATTCATTTCTATATACCATTGAAGCTTCTTATTTGTAATTTCCTCTTAAAAGCTCCGAGTGAAAGATAGAATGTTACAGTGTGACCCCCTCCCTTCTTTTCGAGAAATTTTTCTTTATTCACTTTTTTTGTAATGATTTTATTCCACGACTACTCTCGTAAAAATTCTCAATAAAAGACACATATCTTAATATCCAATAAAACTATGCACCTACTACACTATGACATAGAAATACTTTTTTATAGTGTGCAACAGATTGGGGTATTTAGATGTCCTCCTTCGAAGTTACTATTCATATATAACATTGCATTGATGTTGAATTATCATTGATAATGATCTTTATGTTTATAAATGTATAAATGATTTGTTACATTATGAAGAGGAAAATGCACACTCGCGATTAAGTTGGCAGAGAATGGAGAATTATATAACATTATAATAGAACACGATTACGTATTTTGGATTCACTGCTGTAAATAGGATACAGCTACGTATGCAAAATCGTGTTCCTTAATCCTCTTTTATATGTGATATTTAGTAGGACAAATAAATATGTTATTTTCCTGAACAGTTTTTAATCCTGCTCTAATCAATACTGTCCTTGATGTAATGAAATGAAATGAAATGAGAAGGTAACGAACAATAATCGTGCTCAAGAGTCCAATTAAACAATACAAATTGTGAGCAAAGCAAACACAGACCTCTGAAAACAGAGGTGGGATCAGGTGCCATGGAGGAGCAAACATCTCCTGTCGACCGCTCACACCCGCCATGTGCCCCATGTCATGATCGAGTAAAGGGGAAAATCTGTAGACAATTTAGTGTGAAAATAATCACAGCGGCAAGCAACATACTTTACTTGATTTTACGTGTGATCACTTTGTATACAAAAGGAATAGGAAACGTCAGCTCGAATTACAAACTGAAAAACACTGTACTTTCAATTAAATACCTTCCAGCAAGTCTATTAACGACTGGAACCATACAGCAACATTTATTCTTTAATAAAAATATTATCAGGGTCGTTTACAAAGTGTTTAAGTCGTGTTTCACAAATCCGATATCTTGTCAAGCTTGTTGATGTAGTTTAAGTCGTCCACTAAATTCGCTCAACAATGCATCTAGCCTTTAACGGGGACGTGATTGGTCAACAATGTTTTTCTAGAACATTTTAGACCAATCACTTTCCGCCTTACAACTTGCATGGGGTTTCCTAAGATGTTGTCTGTTCTCGGCTCGGGTCTCAATGTGTACTGAATTCGGAGAGATGGGGTATAATAATTGTAAATATCAAACGAGAAAGATGGTTTTCGTGAAAGCTGAATCTCTTGTTTACGTTTTCCAGCATCGGAAAGACTTCGAAACAAGATTTAATGTGCGAGTTGTACCTCGTTTTAGTGGACGACTAAAGTAGATCGACACACACGATTGGATATGAACTTAGTACCGACCCTGTGAAATTAATAATCTAACAATTTGTATGAAAGACGCCATTCAACAGGCACTTTGTACCCCCGTTTTCTGCTACGTGCCTGGTCAACATTCGACATAATGATAAACTCCATCGGCAAAAGAGGTCATTGTATCGACCATAGAACCCGCGAAATGCCGACTCTAAATCTAATAATGAAACTACGGCAACAAAATTACATGTACATGAGAGGTATACATTAAATCAGATCGATTCTATTCAAGGATGCATGCCGTATACACTACACAATGTCTATTCCTTTTTAGGATTTAGTGGATATACTTTATATCATGTCTATTTAATGTATGGGTTTATCTGGTATACACTACAAAATGTATATTCCTTTGAGGATTTAGTGGCTATTCTCTTCATCATGTCTATTCTATGTAAGGCTCTATTTGGTATACACTACACAATGTCTATTCCTATTTTAGTTAGTGGATATACTCTATATCATGTCTATTTAATGCAAAGGTTTATCTGGTATAAACTACACTATGTCTATTCTTTTTCAAGCTTTAGTTGATATACTCTACACCATATCTATTCTACGTAATACTCTATTTGGTGTATACTACGCTAAGTATTTTCTATGTAAAGCTCTATGTTGTATACACTATACACAATGTCTATTCTTTTTTAGTAAGTTGATATTCGCTACACCTTGCCTATTCTATGTAAGGATTTATCTGGTATACACTACACAATGTCTATTCGTATTAGGTTTAGCTGATATACTCTACACCATGTCTATTTTATGTAAAGATCTATTCTATTAACACGACACAATGTGTATTCCCTTTAAGGCTCTGTCTGGTATATACTACATAATGTCTATTCCTTTAAAGGCTCTTTTTTGTATGCACTACACAAAGTCAATTCCTTTTAAGACTATGTTTCGTATAAATTACAACATGTGTATTCTACGTTTGGTATATACATTTCACTATTCTATATAACGCTCTATTTGGTATATACTACACCATGCCTATTCTATGTAACGCTTTATTCGGTATACACTACACCATTTCTATTCTATGTAACGCTCTATTCGGTATACATCACACTACGCCTATTCTCTGTAACGCCTTATTCAGTATACACTTCACCATTTCTATTCTATGTAACGCTCTATTCGGTATACACTACACCATTTCTATTCTATGTAACGCTCTATTCGGTATATATTACACCATGCCTATTCTATGTGCACTTCCAGTAGG